CAAAAAAAAAAAAAAAAAAACTGGAAAACTTTTTTTTTTTTTTTTTCCGTAGACGTTGGATACTACGAAAATGATACATGCTCAGTTGAGCGATGTATATGAGCCAAGGATCCGCAAAGTGATGATAAGGACTTGAATGGACAATGCAGCGTTCGCAAAGCATCAACAAGCAATGTCCATCCAGATACATATGAAAATAGCACAATGTAGCGCAGCGGAAGACCCAAAGATATAACCGGACCTGTCAGATACTGACGTGACACCCCATCACACGCCACACATGCAAGAGAGGGAGGAGGGACCGCATACATGGAAGAAAGGTCCCTCCTTGAACACGCACCTGGGGGAGATACCACGGATGAGGTGATGGGGGAGAGGGGAGACGAAGATGGAGGTGAGGGCAAAAACCAAGATCGCGATAGAGAAGTCCAAAAATAATCTTCCTGCCGAATGTCCAATCAATGTCTGCCACAAAATGTCCAATCAGATCCTGGGCTTCATGCCCGATTAACCTCTGGCGGTAACCTCTCTCTCTCTCTCCGAAAGAAGAAGAAGAAGAAGAAGGAGGAGGAGGAGGAGGAGGAGGAGGAGGAAGAAGAGATGGAGGGTGAGACGGCGACGACGAAGAAGATGCCGTCCTCCTCGCTGTCTCACCTGCAGGTAACTGCCATCATGACTAACTGCTGCCGGTCCCTCTCTCTCTCTCTCTCTCTCTGCAGATCGTTGGTGAAAAGGCCAGCTATGGCACCCAGGTAGGAGCTCCGCCAACTCAGGTATGGTCGTCACCTCCTTCCCTACCTACACCTCTACCTCTAGTGTAGTACTGTCGCGCTGCTCCAGCAGTGGGTCGCCCAAGAAGTGAGCTACTCAAACTGTGTGTCTGCCCTGGCCTGGCCCAACTATAAGTAGTGCTGGGCCTTGCGGGTGTGCCTCCGTGTGCCTCTGGTCCTAGGCCAAAACGTGGCCTGCCTGGGTCCCTACCGGACGTCCAGGCCCTCCCTGCTGCATCAGCAGGGAGTGTCTGCAACTGGACAAAAATGGACCTGGCACGAACGGGCCTGCCTGCGAACGTACAAGGCCCAAAACATGGCCTTTGTCCGAACAGAGTCTGTTCGGACGAACTGCGAGTCCGAATCGACGCCTGAACAGACAAAAATGGGACAGCAAATAAATAAAAGAAATTGGATTCTGCCTCAAATCAAATCCTGCGGCCCTAAGGCCAGCCGTGGGCCTCCAGGGCGCATGTCCGAAGGGTGTGACTGGGGACCCCTAGCAACCGTTGGGCCCCCGAAATGGGGCCCGTGTGCAGCCTCAGCATGTAACACCCCCCCCTCCTTATGAAGTCAAGCCGGGTCTAGGGCAAAGCTGACGGTCTGATGGTGGAACCAGGTCTCGAGTATGGCATGGAGCCGAAGGTACCGGCTTGCCTTGCTGTTTGTGTTCGTAACCTGCGAGGACATCGGGGGCTGTGGCCTGAAGTTCCGCACGTTTCAACCAACGGTCAACCTTATGGCAACAATAAGAAAAGTGTACTAAGTACTCCGTCTGCTTGGTGCCGTAGCGCCGCTGCGAAATGATGTTGCTGACCTCCTGAAAACCGCCCATGGAGGGTAGTCGCCTGGGAAAGTCGTCGCATTCCGCCGAAACGAAAAGAGCCAACTTTCGGGGCTTCATATCATAGAATATTCTCCTGATCCTCTACACAGTAGTCTAGCTCTTGATCCTCTACACAGTAGTCCTTTTTGTGTTTTGAACTTCTAAGCCGGGCTGCCCGGGTCACCTTGTTTTCCCAAGCTGCCCGACCATGCAAGGACCGATGAAGCTCCCAGCATAAAAAAAAAAAAAAAAAAAAAAAAAAAAAAAAAAAAAAAAAAAAAAAAAAAAAAAAAAAAAACCATTGGAAACATCTGGAAAAAAGTTCAAAAAACATAAAAGTTGATAAAACGTTATTCAGAAAAAGAAACTGATCCACTTTTGCCTCAGGGTCACATCGAAATCCTTTACCAAATTCAAAATTAAAAAATATAACAGTTTGTCACAGCCCCCCTCTATCTGCCTACGGTTTACCGGGCAGCTCTGTTTGACGATATATACTACGACTTCACTACCACCCTGCTACGGTTTTCTCCGGTCAGGTCGAGCGGCAGTGATCGGGGTCGTCACTACACAGCCGTGCTGTGCCTCTAATGCCAGCGCGCGTGTCTAGAGTGTATTTTTTGGCTGTGCCAGACCTTTCTTTGTTCCGTGGGTGTTTTGCTGGCTTGTGATGGGGTGTGAACCGACAGTCTGTAGACTTCTGGTGTGGTGAGTGATAGTCTGCTTTGATTTTCGTCACGGGTACCTTTCGGGCAGTCGTTGATGCTTAACCACAACCGGGGTTAAGGTGGATTATCACTTACAACAGTGTAATCAGTTAGGGGATGCTGCAGACTGTTCAGGGTTCAGCCTCCTGATGAAACTGCAACGAAACAGTTTTGTCACAGCCCCTCGTTTCTTGTCCTCTTCTCCCTCTTGGCCTCACGGTTTACTGGGCAGCTCTGTTTGACGATATATATCATTATATCGTCAAGCAGAGCTGCCCGATAAACTGTAGGCAGAGAGGGAGAAGAGGAAAATAAACGAGTACTTTTTTCAATCCATGTTTTTTTTTTCAACACATACCCCACCCCATCTCTGACTACCGCTGTTGGGGCGGGGGGCAACATGCTATCCCTTCATTGTGAGGTAGGTATGCTTGCACCAGTCCCCTCTATATAGCCTTAGGAAGTAGTGGCACGTAGAGGTAGTGAAAGGCAAAAAAGAATTTGAGAGAAGAATATAGAGCAGTTGGAAAAAGAAAAATAAATAAAAATCCATGTTTTTTCCCCGCATACTGCTCACTGAACCCTTGGCACACCACATTTCACATTGTGCCTTGAACTGCCTTCTTCCTCTTCTGTAGTCTCTTTCCCACCCTTATGCCACATTTCATATATCGACCTCTACTTTCGTAAGTTCCCTCAACATTGTCATGTCACACACTAGTCCACATAATCCCTTGTACACTTTTCATGGGGGGCGGAGGGGGGGGTGTTGGGGTGGCCGCAGGGAAAAGGAAAAGAACCCCACAAGGGCGATAAGTTTGATAACCCTCCATCAACGGATTTTAAACCACCAGTACTTGGGCCCAGCTATCGGCCGCGGAAAAAATAGAGTAGAAACTTTTCTAGTTCGATGAATTTGGGCGCTCCTATAGTGGCCAGTACGTTTCCTAAAATCGTGGCATGTATACGGGCACGACCTCGGGAAGTACTGGTGGTTTAAGACTTTTCTTTTTAAATCACAACCCTCATTTTGTGTTGCTAAGACATCGCAGAGGCTTGACGTAAGCTAGAGCAATTCACATCACCCCATGAGGTCCTACTTCACATGATGAGCCTGCACACAGTGGCTTCTTTTTCCCCTCTAATGCATTTTTAATTTTTCAGTCATGGTATGGCCTTTTTAACCCCTTATATCACCTTTCACTCAAGCCCATGTATGGTATATGCTCCTTTTTATCTTGCTAGCCTCAACTCAAAGACAACACGTGGTAGTTCAACTCCTCCCTTATACTACCGTCTTCCCCCGAACACAACGCACCCTTATTTTGGCTGTATCTGGCCGGAAATATAGCTTGTATACATTCATTTTTAGGGTGCGTTATGTTCGGGGGAAGACGGTAGCCAGATTGATTGACATTGTGAATGTAGCCGCCTCTCCTTTCACCATTTAGCAGAAGTCCAACACTTAAACCACCAGTACTTCCTGATAATTCGACCGTTAAGTGATAATTCAGCGCTCAATGCACCTGGAGCCATTGGATGGACGGGCCTGCCAAGCTGGGGCTATGTTCATTCAAAACAAACCGCCGCCGCACTGTAGCAATGGCTGGCCGTTAACGAGCGGATTTATCAGGAAACACCGGTGGTTTAGCAGGTGAAGAAGATGCAGGGTGTTTTCCAGAGAAATGGTGCATAAGAAGAATGGGTAAGATCTTGTCCTTATCTTGCCACCCTTCACTCAGGCGGTAGTCCCGTATAGCAGAAATACGGGAAGTCCAATGGGGACGATTCCACTTGAAAGAAAAAAAAAGAAAAGACAAAAAAAGAAGGGGGACGATTAACAGATGAAGAAGATCAAGGTGTCCCCAAGAGATGCGATGAATAAGGAGAATGGTAAGATTTTGTGTGTGCAGAAGGTTGAGCAAGCGGAGCGGGGTGAAAAACCGTCAAAAGAACCAATTTGGCAATTTCCAAAAAAAAAGTTGAAAAAAGTTAAAAAAAAAAGAGCGAAATGATGAGCATGGTGAAAGAAACAAAAAGAAAGCGAAAAAGATAGAAGAGGCATGCAAAGGAGAGGAGTAAGAGCATACTCACACTAGCACAATCGTTAACTGTACCTGACCCTAATTAGGGAGCTACTTGGATGTATCTGACCAATATTCCGTCCAGAAATAAGTAAAAAAAGTCCTAGTGTGAGTATGCCTTAAGAGAGGCAAAACAGCAGAGAGGAGTGAGGTACAACAACACAAATCGTAGAGGAGGAAGAGGCATCACAGAAGGAGGACTACGGTACAAAAAAAAGAACGCAAATCATGAGAATGACAAAAAGAGAAAAAGAAAAAAAAACAGATAAATCATAAAAGACAAAAATTCACAAAATGCTGAAGCTCTGGAAATGAGGCCGATAGGGGTTCAAACTTCAAAGTTAAAATTTCAAAATCCAAGACTCCAAACGGATCAGGGGAAAAAACGCCGAAGTAGAGGAGGCTGACATCTGCAACCACGGAGAGCTCGACTTCTTCTTCGCAAGTGTCTGAATCTGGCGCTACCGGTAGTTAGACCTGATGCGCTGGAGCAAATTTCTACTTTCTCTATTTTGCATAGAATTTGTCGTGCGGCAAGAATTACAGGAGTATGAAGGAGTGCAACTGAGCCAAGAGAAAAGGAAAACAACAAAACAAGTTGGAAAAAAAAAAGAGAAAAAAAAAAAAAAAAAAAAAAAAAAAGAAAAAAAAAAAGAGAAAAGTCAAACCGGTAAATCTGAGCACCAACCTTGTTTCTCCATTACTGATGAAGGAAAAATTCCGCGCATCTGCCGAGTCGACGTCGGCGCTTACAAATCCTCGATGTAAACTAAACCGCAAACAACTCACAGCTGCGACAACAACAGGAAAACGATTAAAAGTTGAGAAATCACCGATTCCGAGTGATTCGTCAACTAACCAAACTTGTGCAAAGCGCACAGTGGTGGCTTGGGATGGGTGTGCTTCCAACACCTCTAGGACCCCTCACCCATCCTCCACAAGAGATGGAGATGGTAGTGGAGTCTACCTAAACAAACTCTTTCCTTGCTATGTATGATACATAGTATTACATACACAATCCCTGTGAGGCATCAAAGCCTGCCTGTACCTACACACCCACACTTCTTCTCTGGCAGAATACCATACACGTTTAGTATTTACGGTTCCGACATACCTTCCCAAACATGGTCCTATCAGACAAAGTCGAACCGATAGCAACACATGCGAACGAGGATAAGATCACATGCGAGACCTTGGCTTCCTCCCTGGAGAAGTCGGGCTTGAAGTTGATGCTGAACTTTCGGCGGGTGCTCCCTGCAGGAACAGAAAACAAGAAACTCGTAATCAGTATCCTACGACCCTGTACAGATAACGGTTCACCAATGAAGCGACGAAGCACACACGCACAATACTCGTCGCTGGAACACTACCTCTCACACCTAACCACAATGCGGAACAAACAGACACAACAAACATCCCCTTTATAGCACACTTTTGCCCACTGCTCATGCTACGTGCATTGACGACTTCAGAGGACGGTTCAGCGATGAACCAACAGAACGCACACACAATAATCATCACTTCAACACTACCTCTCACAGTCGGGGACGATCGCACACACAATAATCATCACTTCAACACTACCTCTCACAGTCGGGGACGATGTGGAAGACGCACACAACGAACACCCTGTTTGCAGAACTTCAGCCTCGCTGCTCAGGCTACATGCACTGATAACCTCTCCCGCTACCTCTCCTTCAAGTACTATCCTAACGTTTCTTCTACTCCCCATAGCGGTACTTTCTCGTTCGTTATGTATCAATGTTATCCAAAAGGTGCGAGGACCAAATAACGCAAAACACGAAGGTAAGGATGAATGTCCAAGCACCAAGATCTACAACGAACGGTGTTTCCCTGAGCCTATAATCTACAGTGTTGCCGTGAGGAAAAATAACTGTGGTACCCTTCCCCACTGATCCTCTACGGGGCCTGGGCACCATAGCTTTTGTTTGGCCTGGGACTTGTAGAGAAGAAAAATGCAGTGCTGGGGCCGCTGGAACGGTGTTTTTTTTTTTTTTTTTTTGCTTTTAAAAAACTAAGCTATAATCTTCTCTCAATTTCACCTTTCACTACCTACCTACCACAACCTCTAAGCAACCCTTGCAAGCATAGCTATCTCTCACAATTAAGGGGATGCATGTTTCCCCTCGACCTAATCGGCGGTGGTCAGGGGGTAGGGAGGGGCCCACCGTTTTTTTTTGGGGGGGGGTCCGGGGGGGGAAGCGGGGGGGTGTTGCGGCTAACACAAAGACCGAGCATTTGGCCAGTTGCTGCGCCTCCCATCTACTTCCCCCAACCCCCATTGAGTAGCAGCAGTGGCTATGTCCAACACTCTCCCACACAACCCACTCACCCTCACAGTCATGCCATGTCGGTCATAGACCCCACTAATACTGATCAGGGGTATCAAGCAGACTATCACAGTCGGTTGGCACTAAGTGCGTGGTCGTTTTTTTTTTTTTTTTTTTTTTGAAACGATTGAATTATATTGCAAAAGTGCGTGGTGGTTTAGACTTTTAACGTAGCCTCTGGCCTGAACACGGGAAACCTTACCGAAAGAAGAAAAAAAATCAACCCAAAGGGCCAAAAATAGAAATGAATAAAAATCTTCTCAACAAAGACCCAAAGCAACATCTTTTTTTTTTTCTTTTTTTTTTTTTTCCCAACCAGACACCGCCTACTAGGGGGGTGGTCCGAGAAGCCTCCCCTAGTTAGGTAGTTGGCTACTCCGTCCCATGGTGGGGAGCGGCATGTGCTGGAAAACGGGTAAGTTCATAATTTAGTATTATACATGCACAAATCGCATCATCACGCCACCATTATCAAAGGATAAGGAAAAACCGGCGAGTATAAAGTAGGGGGATGAACCGAAAGATTCGGATAAACATGAACATGACACCCTGAGGACAAACAACACCAGAACAGGGACACATACAGGCTAACACAGCTGATACGCTACAAAGTTACAAAGTTAATACAAACCCTTATCACACAAAACCCCCTCTATAAGAGGAGGAACAGTATAGGGGGTATTGAACCTGTGCCTTTGTGAATAGGTAGACATGCCTAAACCCCTTATGCAAGCACAACAATTCCTAGACTAAAATCAGGGACAGAGGCCACCATTGGCTGGTAGTTTGCAGCCATATAGAACAGAAACCACTCTGCAAAAAATTGCCAAAAATACAAAAACAACTCACCAGTTTGATACCCCTTGACGCACGCTGCTCCAGATATGTGCTTGGCTTGAAGAATCCCGCACCGGGACCAATCACTTGGGACCACTTGCTAAGTTGGCTGCTAATGTACTTTGCCCCGACGGTATCAGCCCACCACACCAAACCTCCCCTGTACACAAACAGTACCAGACAATGTGTCAAAATCAACTGCAAAGCTGGCTACGAAAAGTCCTAACAGACTTGTGTTAATAATGAAATTATACTTCGTCGTAGCTTTCAAGTTTCCAGTGCTGATCTTGTAATGAGAACCAACAGTATCTGCCTAACACACTAAACCTCCCCTCAGTCCCTGTACACAAACAGTACCTTACAATATGTCAAAAGTCTCAAAACCAACTTACCTGTTACTAAAACCACCACTGCTTCCGAGCCACTCTTTTGCCGAGGCTGCTTCCCTCTGTGCGCCAAGCTTTGCCCAAGTGCCAGTGCGGCGTGTTTGTTTTTGTCCATCCACCGCCCCCAGCGTTTGCATTTTCCGGCGATCCCGAATTCCAACCAATTGCGAACTTGGGATCCCTAGGTGTCACCACATCTTGGATCTGCAGCCTGCAGACAGTCTGTACCATACTTGCGGCGCACCGGTGCGGTGCGGTGCGGTGTGTTGTGCGGGATGCGCTCACCCACACCGCATGCGCATGTGCCCGTGCGAGCACCGGTTGCGCTGTGCGGCATGTGCGTCAAAATGCGCTGCCGGGCAGGGGTGCGCGCTGTGCGCTGTGCCGTTTTCCTTTTTTTTTTTGGGGGGGGGGGTGTTCGTGTGTGTGTGTGTGTGTGTGTGTGTGTGTGTGTGTGTGTGTGTGTGTGTGTGTGTGTGTGTGTGTGTGTG